GCTCCGGTTTCTCTCCACCCGCCGGGAGCCGGGGGGAGGGGCGCTCGGGTCCCGCCGGGCTGGGGCTTGTATCTTACCCCCTTCACAAGGCGCTGGGTTCTTGCAGGTGTGGATGTAGTCTGGATGTTGTCCTGTGTCCTGTGGTCTCTATTTTAGGAAGATTTTTCTTTGTTATATTTTCATAGCTCTATGTGTTTTTGGGAGGAGATTTCCACTGCTCTACTCACGCCGCCATCTTGGTTCCGCCCCTCAGTTTAGCAGCATTTTAATAAGATGATGTTTAAACTGGTAATTAAAGTTGTTGGGGCAGATTGCAGGGAGTTTCACGAGTCATAGGGTCCCCCCCTTTTTAAATCATTATAGCATGATTTCTGTTACATTGGGATTAAAGTTCTAGAGGCAACTATATTTTTGCAATGACTTGTCACACTTGGTTTTAAATTAATAAACCAGTAAAACAGTGTATTCCAAACCACTTAAAAGGAAAAACAAGGTAGATTAATCCTGTGGCAGTCAAACACATAGGAGATAGTAGTAGTTCTTTAATTTGTGAGTCTTCTTTGTGCAGAGCATTCATTTTTATCAGGGTTAGTTGCTTAATTGGAGGAATTGAGTACAAGAAATTTGTCTCATCCCACATCCGAGTACTTACTTTGAACCAGTTGCTATACCAGGTGTGGCTATATGAATGAATAGTTCATAAAATTTTCTGCCTTCAGGGACTTCTCAATATGAGTCCTGATGAAACTGACTAGTTAACCTTGAAGAGTATAAGGAACCTTCTCAGACACAGCAATAAAAGTTTGTATGCCATTTGTTTTACAGCTTTTTTGATATTTAATTAAGTGCTAGATTCAACAAAGGTAATGTGAGAATGGTACCTGTGGGGTGTTCAGTTATAAGAGACTTAAGAATTAAAAGAGGTTGATCTACTTTCATAGATTCAGCATTCTTAAGGTTCTTAAAAAACTATTCAGAAAATAGCAGTGGTGGAAAAAACTTGTTTTTCCTTTAAAGAAAACTGGTATTTTATTTAAGATTGACTATTAGAACATGGCAAATTTAAATACGATGATGTAATTTCTGAATTAAGCAAACACTAACAAAAACTCTAATCCTAGCTATTTGGAATTTAAGTTGTTACTGGTTCAGATAAATGCTGAAAGTAAGGTCTTGAAGCAGTGGAAGGAAAACAACTGATTGATTCTGAGTGGAAACATTTATAGTGCAGGAATGCCTCTAGGTTCTTGGCCGTGGCAAGGGTAGGGATGAAAGTATTAAAGTAGGAACGTTAAAAGTTTGCTGTAATAGGATTGGAGGAATATGTGGATGTTATGGTTGCAGTTTTTGCTTAAGGGAATTAACTGGTAGAGTCTTGAAGAATAGCAGTAAATTAGATAACTTAGAAACAGACCTAGAGTGATAGCATCATTATTTATGTTTGCATAACAATAATTTGTGAAAGTTTTAAGAGGCAAAGCTTTGTTTTGGTGTGAGGTACTAACTCAGCAGCACCAGGACCACCCATGAGACAGCAACATTCCGAGGCTGATAATTCTAGTCAATTCTTAGTTTAGGCTTGGGAAATTCAAGTGCTTCTTTTCTAACATTTACTGAAAGAGAACTTTTCCCCTATTACTGTATACATTGAGAGTCCTGAATCTTATCTATAATACAGTCTTTAGTGATTTTAGTGTTTGGTTAACTATGCTTAAAATTACTAAAATGTGCTTTTAGGAACTTTACCTCTTGAATTATTTTGAGAATTCTCATGCTAGACAAGGACTGAGTGATACCCAGTTCCTTAGTTTTAAAACCCAGGATGTTCTAGTCACAATGGAGACTTTAGTTTGGAATCTAAGAAGGGGTGGCCACAGTGAGGGAGAACCAGGAAAATGGTAAATTGAATGGAAGTAGTGAAAAGTAGAAATATTTTCCCTCTACTTTTTCAGGAAGTAGTTGAGATCTTTAAAGAAAAGAAGACCCCTCTGGAAAGCAACATGAATACATAATAGAACTTTTATTTCATGCAGCTCAAAGAAAATGAATGGCACCCTGGACCACCCAGACCAACCAGATCTTGATGCCATCAAGATGTTTGTGGGCCAGGTTCCGAGGACCTGGTCTGAGAAGGACTTGAGGGAACTCTTTGAACAGTATGGTGCTGTCTATGAAATCAATGTCCTAAGGGATAGGAGCCAAAACCCTCCTCAGAGCAAAGGTAAGGTCTTTGGGTTTTAAATGTCATTTCTGTCATGTGCATGTTGCATCTCATTGCCAGAATGCTCCTATGGTAATATTGGGGCAAAAAAATACGTCCTTTTGTCTATTCCTCTATATCTTTCAGCCCAAACACATTTAATAGCTTAAAAATAAAAAGTTAAGTGACATCATGAGGATAATTTATAAATTGGATCTTGAACAGTCCTTGTGAGAGCTCTAAATTCAAGAGACAGACTTAATATGAGTATGTCACTTGGATTGGGGGATAGAATGACAAAAATAAAGTTGAAGTAAACTAGCCACATAAGGTTTTCTTGTCCATGTACCCATGGATTTCTGTTAGTGTTACAGAGGCCTTGCAGGGTGGCTTAGCCACTAGGAGGGTATATTTGTAGGTAACCTGTTAGTTGTAGCTTACAAAATGGACAAGAAAACAAAGGGTGAGCAGCTTCTAGAAATACCAGTAGAGTGGAAATTTTATAGGACTGATGGTAGATAAGGCATTAGCTTTGCCCCTGTACACATGTAGACATATTTATATTTTTCCAGATGACCAATTTCACAGTAATTTTCAGTGAAAGCTGTTCTATAGTGCAAATATGAGCAAGCATGATTGTGTTATGTTTGAAACCAGCTTACTAGAGGATCTAGAGGCAGAGGAATTATTTTCTCTTTGAAAAAAATATAAATATTGTAGTTTATGTAACTGGCAATATAACTGCAATGATTTAAAATCTTAATTGCGGTGATTTTGAGAGAAATCTCTAACATATATCATGGGACTGTGGGCCCAGATTTACAAGACCCATATCCACCAATCAAGATACAAAGCACAAATCTATAGATCTCTTTCACTGCCGTGTGCTGTTAGAAGCTTAATTATGTTTGATGAGAATCAAGAGCAAAAAAAAATACTAAGTGGTTCTTGCTCTTAAGTCATTTTATAATAAAAAAATGAGAATTATGTTTGGGGCATATGGTAGAAACTGATTACAGTGTAAGAAGTGGTTTATTCTTAGGAAAAAAGAGTTCCTGGTGGACTACAACAAGCTACAAGAGTGCAAGGCTCCCTGTCTATCCTGTTTGTAGCTGAGTCTTCTTGCCCAGCACACTACCTGGTCTTCAGAGCAGTTGGATTGAATATCATGGTACTGTGACCTTTGTAAGGGAAATACCTTTCTCAGAGAAGTCACAGGATCAGCTAAAGAAGAATTTTAATAGAACAAGGAGACTGTAACAACAAAAATGTACAGAAGATAATGCAGTTTTTTCCTGGTAGTTTCCCTCATTCTCTGTTTCTTTCTCAACTCATGTTAATAAACCTAGCCCTCTTTTGAGTTCCAATATGTCTGCTGATAAGGGAATGCTCTAGAAATTGTCTTCTTACTGTTTTGATTTCATGAAGTCATCTTCATTGCAGGGTGCTGTTTTGTTACATTTTACACCCGCAAAGCTGCATTAGAAGCGCAGAATGCTCTTCACAACATGAAGGTCCTCCCAGGGGTAAGAAAGCTCTTATTAGTAAGACACTGTGGTGGTTTTGACCCGTGGAACATATTTTATTTCGGGCATAAACTATTGTGGGTGAAGGATGATTGCCGCAAGAATTGATGTAGAGGAGGACATAAAGGAAACATTTATTTTCAAGAAGATAATGTTGAAAGTAGTTCTCGTTCATTCAAAAGAATTTGACTTACACACATTCTATTTTGATATTTTATGGGGGGAAGATCATGAGGCAGGTATGTGAGTTCAGAGACAACTGTTAAGGCTCTAGTTTTGGTATTTCCTTTGAGCCCTCATATTTCTGACCAGTGTATAAATGGTAATATTCATGTATTAACTTTTATAGATGCATCATCCTATACAGATGAAACCTGCCGACAGTGAGAAGAGCAATGGTAAGCAAGTGTACAATCCCTCCTCTTACAAGGTTTCTATTTTGTTTGCTGTCCTTACAACATGTGGATTGTATTGTGCTCTAAGTAATCTTGTTTGTAATTGAGGTATAATAGACATAATGTTAGTTTCAGGTGTACAACATAATGATTTAGTATTTGCATGTATTGTGAAATGATCACCACAGTAAGTCTAGTTAACATCCACCACCATACAAAGTTAGAAAAAAACTTTGTATCTTACAATGAGAACTTTTAAGATTTATTCTATTCTCAGCTTTCAAGTATGCAATATGATATGATTAAGTATAGTCATCACTGTGCCTTACATCCCCTGGAAGTTTCTACCTTTCGGTCTTTCTCACCCAGTCCCTTGTCCCCACCTCTGGCAACCACCAGTTTTTTCTCTGTATCAGTGTGCTCAGGTTATTTTTTTAGATTCTACATACAAGTGAAATGATATGGTATTTATCTTTCTCTGACTTCACTTTAGTATAATGTCTTCAAGGACCATCCATGTTGCCACAAATGGCAAAATTTCATTCTTATGGCTAAACATACTCATTTCGGTGTGTGTGTATATGTATATATGCACACCACGTGTTCTTTATCCATTCATCCATCAGGGGACAGTTAGGTTATTTCCATATGTTGGCTATTGTAAATAATGCTGCAGTGAACACAGTTAATGTTCAAGTTAGTGTTTTCATATTCTTCAGATAATTACCCAGAAGTGGAATTGCTGGATGATATCATAGTTCTATTTTTAATTTCTTGAGGAAACTCCAAATTGTTTTCCACAGTAGCTGTATCATTTCACATTCCCATAACACTACTCAAAAGATTCCCTTTCTCCACAATCTTACCAATACTTACTGCTTGTTTTTCTGGTGATAGCCATTCAAACAAGCACGAGGTGATTATCTCATTGTGGTTTTAATTTGCATTTCCCTGGTGACTAGTGATGTTGAGCATCCTTTCATGGCCATCTGTATGTCGTCCTCAGAAAAATGCTCAGATCCTCAGCCCATTTTTTCATGACATAGTTTGGATTTTCTAGCTTTTGAGATGTATAAGTTCTTTATGCAGACATATGATTTGAAAGTATTTTTTACTGTTTAGCAGGTTGCCTTTTCATTTTGTTGATGGTTTCCTTTGCTGTGAAGAAGCTTTTTTGTTAGATATAGTCCCACTTTCTCTTGTTGCCTTTGCTTTTGTTTTTGGTATAATTAATATACAATGACATGAGAAACATTATGTTTACTAGACACCCCCCATCACCAACTCCCCCTGACAAACCCCATTACAGTCACTGTCCATCAGCATAGTAAGATGTCTAGAATCACTACTTGTCTTCTCTGTAGTGCACAGCCCTCCCCGCGCCCCTCTGCCCCACATTAAACATGCTATTTGTAATGACCTTTTCTTTCTGCCCCCCCATCTCTCTCTTCTCACACATCCTCCCCTGTCCCTTTCCCTTTGGTAACTGTTAGGCCATTCTTGGATTCTGTGTTTCTGCTGTTGTTTTGTTCCTTCAGTTTTTGATTTTTCTTTTACTCCACATATGAGTGAAATCATTTGGTACTTGTCTTTCTCCACCTGGCTTATTTCACTGAGCATAATACCCTCTACCTTCATCCATGTCGTTGCAAATGGTAGGATTTCTTTTATTCTTATGGCTGAATAATATTTCATTGTGTATATGTACCACCTCTTCTTTATCCATTCATCTACTGATGGACACTTAGGTTGCTTCCATTTCTTGGCTATTGTAAATAGTGCTGCGATAAACATAGGGGTGCATCTGTCTTTTTCAAACTGGGCTGCTGCATTCTTAAGGTAAATTCCTAGGAGTGGAATTCCTGGGTCAAAT